AAAGAAATACAGATTTGAAATAAATGGCTGGTAATGCACTTTTTCATTTTCTAGAAGTGTAAGCAGAAAGTATGGGTATTTTGAGGCAAATACAGACATCTATAAAGAAAATTATAATAGGCCATGTGAATGTAGTAAAAAGTAAAGGCCATGTGAATGTTGTAAAAAGTAAAGGCCATGTGGATGTTGTAAAGGGTAAAGGCCATGTGGATGTTGTAAAGCGTAAAGGCCATGTGGATGTTGTAAAGGGTAAAGGCCATGTGGATGTTGTAAAGGGTAAAGGCCATGTGGATGTTGTAAAGGGTAAAGGCCATGTGGATGTTGTAAAGCGTAAAGGCCATGTGGATGTTGTAAAGCGTAAAGGCCATGTGGATGTTGTAAAGGGTAAAGGCCATGTGGATGTTGTAAAGGGTAAAGGCCATGTGAATGTTGTAAAAAGTAAAGGCCATGTGGATGTTGTAAAGGGTAAAGGCCATGTGGATGTTGTAAAGGGTAAAAGCCATGTGGATGTTGTAAAAAGTAAAGGCCATGTAATGTTGTAAAGGGTAAAGGCCATGTGGATGTTGTAAAAAGTAAAGGCCATGTGGATGTTGTAAAAAGTAAAGGACATGTGAATGTTGTAAAGGGTAAAGGCCATGTGGATGTTGTAAATGGTAAAGGCCATGTGGATGTTGTAAATGGTAACGGCCATGCGAATGTTGTAAAGGGTAAAGGCCATGTGGATGTTGTAAAGGGTAAAGGCCATGTGAATGTTGTAAAGGGTAAAGGCCATGTGGATGTTGTAAAGGGTAAAGGCCATGTGGATGTTGTAAAGGGAAAAGGACATGTGGATGTTGTAAAGGGTAAAGGCCATGTGAATGTTGTAAAGGTTAAAGGCCATGTGGATGTTGTAAAAAGTAAAGGCCATGTGGATGTTGTAAAGGGTAAAGGCCATGTGGATGTTGTAAAGGGTAAAAGGCCATGTGGATGTTGTAAAGGTCATGTGGATGTTGTAAAGGGTAAAGGTCATGTGGATGTTGTAAAGGGTAAAGGCCATGTGGATGTTGTAAAGGTTAAAGGCCATGTGGATGTTGTAAAAAGTAAAGGCCATGTGGATGTTGTAAAGGGTAAAGGCCATGTGGATGTTGTAAAGGGTAAAAGCCATGTGGATGTTGTAAAGGGAAAAGGACATGTGGATGTTGTAAATGGTAAAGGCCATGTGGATGTTGTTAAAGGGTAAAGGCCATG